AGTCCTTGCGCACCTGCCTGGTTTGAGGCTCCTGTTGGTGCAGTGCCCGAGCAAAGCCCCATGTGCAGGGGCTCAGGGCTGCACACACAGCTCAGCCCCTCCGGCGGTGCTAAATCCCAGCCTGGAGAGGCAGGGAGCTGCTGGAGTCTCCTGTGCTGCTCTGTGCCTTTGGTGGAACACCGTGCCCTGGGGAAAGGCACTGCTGAGCCCAGAGCCCCACTGGGGCCTCTGTGGACTTTCCAGCGCACAAAAATAGATTTACCACAGACAGCTTGCACTGTCAGCCCCGGGGCTGTGCTGCAGTCACTGAGTGCCCCAGTTAATCCAGCAGCTCTGTGTGCGAGGGAGAAAACCTCCAGGGCTGTGATAACCTCCTTGTTTGTCATTTCCTCTGAAGGGAGCTCCAGCCTGCTCTAATCACAGCCAAAGGCAAGCACAAGGTATGAGCCAGCTGAGAGGGAGCTTCTCTTTTTCTGTCTTTCATGGCTTTTCAATGTGTGCCTTGTGGAGCCACATGGGATCCAAACCTTTTCCACATTCCATGAGGTGTTTGCACCACACAGTGATGATCTGGGCAAGCAAACTGCCTGAGCTCTTCCAAAAGGAGGTGATGTGTTTCTACCAGAATATGTTATCTAACTTAATACATTTTTTTCACTTCTACTGTGAATATCTATGATTCTGCTTTCAAAAAAAAAAAAAAAAACCAACAACAAACCCAAGCCTGGCATGAGATGCCAGAGATAATTTACTCACTTCTATGGGAAAAGAGGATTCCCCAGCCGGTGAAACATGTCCTGACTGTGAGTAGCTGGCTTCTAACCCATCTGCTGGACTGCTGAGGGCTTGAGGCAGGGAAAAGCAGTGCCAGTGCCAATGCAAAAATGCAGTTGACCTAAAATCAGGGAACATTAAGCACTGCTTTTTCACTCTCAGCATTGGGCAGAGGCTGGGTGGGATGTGTGCCTTGCTGGCAGCACCACCTTCATCCCAGCTGGTGAGTCCTGGCTTTGCTCTCCTCCTCGCGCAAACCAAGAGATGCAGGCAGAGGAGCTTGAATCTGGCCTGATGGAGGCAGGAAGGCCCCAGAGCTGGGCTTTTCTCTTCATGTCTCACCCCCAGGAAGTGGTGACGCAGGTTATGGGCTGGGTTTGAGGTTTTGGAAACTTTTTCTAAAAGTCGATCTGGTCCTCGGCCCTCTCATTCCCGCGGCGTGACGCCGAGGTGAGGGCTGCCTGGAGCAGAGGGATGCCAGCCAAGATGCAGCTCCTCATCAGATGGAACGGGAGGATTTGCCTGGCTGTTTGTTTAATCCTCTTTGTGGGATGCACGGCACAAGGTAAAACGGGGCGGTTGTTCTGGCTGTAATCCTCTTTCTGGGCTAGGCATGGAGGCTGAGAAAGCAGCCTCTGAGTTTTACCAACTGGCCTTCTTTAGGGGGTAACGAGGTCTGTCAAAAAGGCTGTTTGCTAATGTTTCCTTTTCTGGGGGGGAATGGCAAGAAAATGTGCTTTTTGCAATTGGAGCACTTCAGTTTTTGAGCAAAGACTTCACGTTGTTGCACGTGAGTATGTTTTCAGTCTGCGTATCTCAAGATACATTTTTCTAAAAGTCCCTTTCCTAGTGGTGTGGCTGCTGCTGTTACTCAGTTGTGAGTTGCAGACATGGTGTGTAACAGCTCCCATGTCATAACTCCTACGGCCTTGTTCTGGGGGCAGCAGGGAAGGAAATTGGGTGTAAGTGTGAGGAAACCAAACGGTTCATTCCGTAAAGCATTGCAACACGCACCAGAAAATGACAAAAGGGAAATACTGATTCATGATGCCGTGCCCCGTGGATTTGTTTCTCCTGAGAGAAAAACTGCTCTTCAAGCATGCAGATATAATATATATAGATATAATTTGTCCACAAACCATAGCTGTGGTAGTGAAAGGCTCTCAATATGCATTACCACTCTGAGGCTGATCTTTCAGGATTATGGCCTGCTTGTTCTCTGTTGCTTATTTGCAAATTTTTCAGCTGCAGCTGTTTATTTTGTTGCCACTGTTATCATTAAAAACCTTCTTAATAATAGGTGAGGAGAAGAAAATAAGTATGAGGAAGGAATATGCTGTAGAGGCAGCAGGAAATCACACCCATGAGATGTTTTCTCTTTTACAGAAGAGTGTAGGAGGTAGCTGAAAGTCATCCAGCACATTATGGAAATATATAGGGCAATAGAGGAGTGTAATTACAGAAAGATATTCCCAGGAAACGGAGAAGAAAATAGATCAAATGCCAACAGGTTGAGAACGCACCAGGGGGTTTCTGAACAAATTAATTACATGAGACCAAGAGGAAGGATGAAATGTCACTGCTCCTATCTTTATGATGTGATCCTTATTTTGTCATTTTGGTAGTTTTTGAGGACCCAGACTTTCAGTGACAGCCCCAGTCAGGCACCTGGGGAGCACCAGAGCTGAAAACAGGATTTACAAAGCCTTGTTGTGCCTAGGAGACACCTGAACAATGTCCTCCCAGAGCCTCCATAAACTCTCAAACCCGCTTTGAGTTTCTCATGTCCCCATCAAAACTCAGCCAAAACCTGAAGGGGCAGAGCTGGAGCTAAGAGAGGAAGGAGAGCACAGCTCTCTGCTGGGTGCCTTGTCCCCAAAGGTTTTCTCATTATTTTCACCTCCAAGGAGAGCTGCAGGAGGCTGAGCCCCCGTGGCCGTGTCATACTGGGGGATGAGCCTTGCTGCGACAGCAGGGCTTTCCCATGGGCTACTCTGTGTGAGGGGATTCCCTGGGATTTCCCATGGGCTTCCTCCTGCCGTGTGCGAGGCGTGCCTGATGTCTCCGATGACAAAAATATCACTTAGGATGTCAGCAGCCATTTTAAAACAAACGTCTTGAGGGTTACTTTACTTTTCCGGAGGTTGAGCAATCAGGGCCACGCAAATTACCTCCACCGGCTCCTTGAAGCCTTGTTAGGTGCTGATAAAGCTCCCAGGAGCTGGTGAATAATGTCCTTGTGGTTCCTGCAGGTGCTCCGGCGCAGAGGGCGAGGTACAAGCGGGTGAGGTGCCGGTCCGACCCCTGGTCTGCCAACTGCATCGAGGAGCAGGGGCCCTGGTTCCACATGCCCTCTGGTGGGGCCAACAGGATCCTTCCTCCCGGGGCTGACCCCTTCTTGTGAGTTCACGACGCCAGCCACTCCTTTTTAAAGTTTTGGAAGTAATAAAATAGTAATACAATTAGAGTAATAGTAATTCGGACAATTCGGATTAGGACAATATGAGACAATAAGAACAAAGAGTTATGGACGTCCAGGTATCTTTTTCTGGGCAAAATAAGCCCGAAAAAGGCCCCACGCTAGCAGAGGATTAACCTTAAAAACAACAGCCTGTTGCAAATTCATACACCTCATACATGGTGCATAAATGCCATTCAAACACAGGATTCTGTCTGGGCACTGTCAGCTTCTTCCTCATAATCCTAACAGCACCGTTCTGCCCGAGTGAGGCAGGAAGAAGTTTGTTTCTCCTGATAATGGAGCAATAAATTCTCTTTCTCTGAAAGATTCAGGTGTCCTGTAGCTGCTATCTCAATGCGAGTCCTTTCTTTAAAACAAACATCCTACATAGCATAGTTTCTCTTTTAACATTTTGTTATAACCTAAAACTATATGTAACACACTACTAAAGAAAATTAATACAGCATTAATTCTAACGCAACACATATAATATTCATTTGAATATTTGCAAAAAGCCAATCATAAAATACACATTTTTCACACTAGCACCCCAAAATGTATTATTCCTGCCTTGACAGGAAAACACGCTGTCACAGCGTGGCTTGCCCACAGTAAGGTGAGGCTTTGCTGTGTTCATCTGAGAGATAACATTGTCACTCTGTGTTTCAGGATGAAGAGGTACCAGGAGCTGGGTGACATATTCCCTCTCTCCAGTGAGGATGCCGGCTCTGGCTCCAACACCGTGGTGGAGGCAGAGCCAGCCTCTGGCTCGGGGCTGGGTGACAGTGACAGCTTCCCTGCCCTCCTGGAGAGCCTGCGGGGCAGCGAGCTGCAGGAGAAGCTGTCGGAGGAGGATTTGCTCCTGTAGGGCTGGGGATGCCCCTCATGCGCTGCTGCTTCGCCTCTTCCCCACAGCCTCACCCGACAGCCACGACGCGGTTTTAAACCAGCATCAATAAAAACTCTGCCTTAAGATCTTTACTGCTTTCGCTTACTAAAAGCATTGTTGTTCAGTCTGAACTGCCTTTTATGTGTGTGCGTGCGGCAGCCATCCCAATGGGGGGAACAACAGCGATGGCCTGGGCCAGCAATAGGTGCGCAGCCAGCTCTGTGGGAAAGCAATCGTGCTCTGAGAGGAAAAATTCAACCCTTTGTGCGCTGGGTGCCGCCTGCACTTTTACAGCAGCCAGCCAATCGCGTATCCCGAAAACGAGCGCCAATTGCTGCCCAAAGGAAAGGTTTGTCCCCGCGTTATTTAATATACATGAGGGCAGCCCCCA